AGCTAAGATTCTGTGCAGTTTGGAGAATCTCCAAATCCCACTCCTGGCTGGCCTCGCCCACCCCTCCCCTCCCAGGAGTTCCCATGTGGCTTGTTTTGGATGCAGGTAAGTGCAGGGCACGCAAGGAGGCTCAGAGAGGACAAAATACAGGCCTACCGGAAGTTCAGGAAGGCCAGAAATGGGGCTTGGGGAGCGTTTTCACCTTCCCGAAGGCTCGAGAAAAGCATCCGGAGCCCAGGGAGGGCAAACACCCCCCTTCCTGCACCACACCATGGTGCAAAAGGCCAACTAGGCCATGGCCACCATGGCCACGCCCACCCAGCAACCGGGCAGAGAACCCCTTGCTAAAATTTTTGAAGCCCACCCCTGCCTACCTGCCAAATTGTTTGAAAACCTTTGAATCAGAAAGATCCTGCATTTAAAACAAAACTCATAATGACTATAACGAATACTTTTTCTACAATGTAGAATCCAACCTGCGATTATTAATACCTATTTATGTGTATGTTGCAATCCTTGAATACTTTTTAGAGCAAAAAACAGGAATCAAATTTTCTAGTTGTATTTTGCTTCTGTTAGAATGTTTATTATCAAGTCAATGGCACTGATGATTACCTCAAGGGAGAGATTCTGGCTTCTTACTGGTTTCTAAATAGCTACCAGACTATTTGAAGCCAGATGATTACACTGTCCTACTGTGCCATCAGAGAATTGTGTGGCTCTAACAAGCATTGTGGCTATGAGTCTAGAGAGTGAATGTTCATAGTCTAATAGATACAATTGTTATGATTAAAGAGAAAACATCTATTAGGCAATTATCAGTTGTATTAACATTCTTAGGGGAGTAATATGTAGGTTGAACTCATTGATTCCTTCTGAATGAAAAGGACTATACCTGTTGTTTGAGCCAATGCAAGCTTCCCTCATCATGTTTAAAGAGAGGACTGTGAATCCAGTCTGCAAAGTAATAGCTGTTTGCTATGGTTGTAATCCAAGTAAGCTATTGCAGTTATAGTTTGCATTTTAAAAGCCATTCACACAACAACCAATAATAAAATATGATTTGTCCAATTGAATCTGATCTTATATTATCACATTTTATATGAAAAACCTAACCTTCATGTAAATTTAGAATGCAACTGCCAGAATTTCCGACCAGGTGGGGATTTTTGTAATTCAAATACATTTTGATGTATTCAATGTGAGTGCTCCTAATTATATAAACAGCTAGGCTTGCTGCATCTTATGTTGCCAACACATTTTTTTTATTAGTTTATTTGGGGCATCTTTAATAGATGCCCCAAATAAAGCCTGTAGTACAGTGGACTAAAGCACTGTTATTAACAACTGCTGCTTGCAATTACTGCAAGTTCAAATCACACCAGGCTCAAGGTTGACTCAGCCTTCCATCCTTTCAAAATTAGGTGAAATGAGGACCCGGATTGTAGGGGCAATAAACTGACTTTGTATAAATATACAAAAGTATGAAGGCTATTGCTTAACGCATTGTAAGCCGCCCTGAGTCTCCGGAGAAGGGCGGTATATAAATTAAAGCAAAAAAAAAAAATTTTTACTACTGGCCAAAACATGAAGTATTTTCAATATGCAAATGAAATAATAGTGACTTGCAGAGTTTTTGTTTAATTTAAAATAATGTAGTATTTCATGTATTTGCAATATCACTACAATAATGATATTACATCATCCATGACTATCCTAAAATATATCCAGTCGGAATTAAGATTAAAGAAATTAGATTTTAACTGGCAAAGAATCTAGGTAGTTTGACAGCTGCAATTGTTATTCTTTCTTTGATATTAGACTTACATAGAAAAGATTACAATAGTTTTGGTTCAGGATTATAAAACCTTGGTTGGTCTTTGATGACGGTCTTCAGGAATATGGCTCCTGCTAATTGAAGAGCACGCAACAAACAGAAACTTGACAGAAACATAAGTGAGAGACAAGGATATGTTTGCCTTTGGACAGAAACAACACCTAAGTTGTGGGTGGGGGTTGAATTCAAATGATATTAACTCTGAAGAAGCATTGCAGTGCAAACTGGAGGGTATTGGATGCTATGCTAGGGAGAAGATAGAAATACAAAAGAGATTGAAAAAAAGCAATGAAAAAAAGTGAGAGGGGGACTAGGGAGGAGGCTAAAAAGTAAGAACAATAGTGGAGAGATTTGGAGATAAAGCCAAATGTTCTGCTGGAGCAATGGTATGACATAAAGATTGCATTAAAAAATCATTGAAAGGGAAAGGGAACTTGTGGCTCTGTATGTTGCTGAACTCCATTATTCAGCAGGGCTAGGCATCACAATGAATAGTCAAAGGAGAGTAGAAGATGCAGTTTGAGAGTTTTGAAGTATTAACTTAATCTGTGCCTTATTGGAAGATTGGGAGATGTAAGTAAGGAAAGCTTAGAGTGTAGATTGGTTAGTATTTGAGTTTCCAGTTCTTATTGCCCACAAACAACAGGAAGACATACCAAGTGAACTGATATTTATTAAATTAATGAAGGGTAGTGAACTAGTGTTGGTCCAAAGGCCAAACGTATTCCAGCCAAGCCAGGCAATCTATAGTTCCAAAGAGTTGAGCTGTAGCCTAGAGCAAGCAGGGATAACAACTACAGGCATATAATGGAGTATGTGGATGATTTTAGGGCCGTGTTGGTGAACCTATGGCACGTGTGCCACAGGTGGCACGCAGAGCCATCTCTGCAGGTACGCGAGCCAACACCCAGGTCAGCTCCACAGTGCATGCCCGCACGCCTCCCTCCAGCCAGCTGATTTTTGGTCTCTTTGGCCGGGAGACTCTGCTGCGCCCCCCACGGCCTGTTTTTTGGTCCCAGGAGATTTCAGAGAGGCCTGCTAGCACCAAAACAAGGGTTGTGTGTGCATGTGCGAGGGGTGGGGGTCACACGCGCATGCATGGGGGGGCATTGCATTATGGGTGTTGGCACGCGCGTGTGCACTGTTGTGCATGGTTGCCCTTTCGGCACCTGAGGATAAAACGGTTTGCCATCACTGCTTTAGGGGATGAGGGGAAAAGATGTTGGCCAAGAAACAATCAGACAAGAGAGGCAAGAGTGCCCAGTGGCTTAATGGTCAGAAAAAGAAGCACCCACTCTAATTTATCAAGCAGTTAAAAGTAGTGGGAAATTTGTATCTTCAAATTTGCAAGATTACACTTAATGTAACCTTGCAATAAAGCAGGATTACCTATTTAGTGGTGTTTTCTGTCTGGTTTACCTGGAAGGGCTGACAGGTATAACTACTTCTCATGTGTTTTCCCAGCAAACCTACACATATGGACTTAATCCATAAAACCTGATGATACACCATTCTTTCCCTTACACATTTGTTCTATTCATATTCATAGGTCTAATTAACATACTACCTCATGTAAACATGTAAAAAAGACAGAGAAGATAATTGTTCAAAACGGGTTATAGTGACTTCTGAAAATGAATCATTGTGGAATGTTTCAACCTTAATCATTACAAAGGGCAGAGGAAGCTGTCATCTGTAACCAGTTGCTGATTAGGAAAAAAAAATACTTTAATAGAGAGACACGTCCTGGTTTTAAATCTAGTGGATGACTTAGTGAGCCCCCAGAAGGTTTATTTGATTAGGAACAACTGCTATAAACCTGAACTAAATTCATATTTTAAATGTGAACACTTCCTCTTCAGACATAAGAGTAGAAAGCAAAAGTAAAGATTTTATATCCAGTCTGGACACAATTATATTGGTCCAGTATGCTCAACCAATACCAGTACAATATACTACTATAATTTCTTATTTTGAGTTTCAGGCATGATCTTTGAGATGTTTAAATAGAATCATTAAAATGTAGTTCAGTCTGGTTAGAGGACAGAGGATTATTTCTTTTAGTATTTTTTTGAATGTCATCTAGTAATTCAGTCTTGTGACAAATGTGTGCTATTAAGCTGTCATTGTGTATTACCATCTTAAAATAACATTTCAAAAATGCCATAAATAGAGATGTTCAGATACAGACACCCAGTATAGTAAAGTATACTTTTAAAATAATAGATAATGACATGTGAAAATTTCCTTTGTTATTATTTTGTTCTGTACTAATCATCAACTTGGGAGTACAGCACTTTCCACAGCTTTTCTTATTTTAGCTTTTTCTCTGTTAGAATCATTCTTTGGATTATATAAAACAGGGGTTTCCAATCTTGGCAATGTTAAGACTTGTGGACTTGTGAAAGTTTACTGGCTGAGGAATTCTGGGAGTTGAAGCACAAGTTTTAAAGTAGCCAAGATTGGAGACCCCTGGATATAAAGAATAACTCCAATAGTCATGACTCGAACTTCAGTTTTACTTCAAATATTATGTATTGTTTTGAACTGTATTTTATTTACTTAGCCCACCTGAACCTCACACTCGTTAAAATGTTTTATGTAACACTTCAAAGGGCTATTGCACTTTAAGTCAGTTTTTAATGGAAATCTTACTGCGAGCAATTGTATCTATTTATTTTTCTAGTTTCCCACACGTTCTCTTAAATTATTTCTGCTGCTATACTCTTAATCTTATCAGAGTGAGGCAGCTTTTTTCCAACTATTTGAAGGTCAATTTTGCCTAAGAGTGTGGTAAAGCTCTGTCTTGTTATTGATCTTACTATTAAAAGATATTCCTTTATGTGTCTTGTTGTATCACAGAAACTGCCCAATTTTAATTGAATTTCTTCGTTCATTTGCCATTTAGAACTGTTCAGTCGATATAAAGCAATTTATGATAGTGCAGGTGTATGGCATCCTTTCTTTGTATTTTTTAGCTTTTCATAAAATACTATCTAACCCTTAAAATGCGTGGAAAATGAAGACTTTTTTCTAATTTTCATCTAGTTTAATTTTCATCTAGTTTAATTTTCATCTAGTTTAATTTTCATCTAGTTTTAATTTTCATGCAGTTTATTTTCATAACGGGCATCACAGCAATGAGAAGTTTCTTTCTCTTTAGAGCTGGAAACGAGACGTTTCAAGAAGCCAAGTACAGATATCGTATTGGTATTTGTCCTCATAACTGGAGTTATTGTTTGTGTTGGAGTTATCTTCGCAATAACCTTCATCATTCTTAATTGGTAGGTAGAGCATACCTAAATTTTAATTGCATTAGGATTTGCGTTTGAGTAATAGTTAACATTCACACTACCCCTCCTCTCTCCAGAAGCAGTGCTGTACTCAGGAGAGAGGTAGGATGATGTGTGAACTCCAGAAGGTAGCTTCAGTATGTTCAAGTACAAAACAAAAACACTCACACAGACTTGCTTCTCTGGCAGATAAGAGAGAGAACGAGATTTCTAACATTGCCAGATGCTTTTAATTGAGATGAAAAGTCTTGCACATGCGCACATGTATACATAGTCATGCATACACACATCAACATGAACAAAAACACAATTGCTTCTTCCTTAATGATATACTTATAGTCCTTCTCCAGAATTTCAAAGCAGGTATTTATAAGGCCAGCCTTCCTAAGAACACAGATAGAGGTGGTGTAACCTATAAGAAATTTCTCAAAGAAAGATCCAGGAGAGGCATGACACTATGCTGAACATCAAGGAGACTGTTGAAAAAGAAGAGGAAGTAACTTGACCGTGAGCTAGGAAGAGGGTGTGGTCACTAAAGAAATGGAAGAAAATTAAAAGGCAAATTAGCAAAGATGGAAAGGAAGGAGCTAGAGAATATAAGAAAATTAAGAGGAAATTAGATCAGAAATTCAAATGTTAGAACTACATGGTGTAACATGAAACAGGGCTAAGAAGACCTTTAGTGTCCTTTAGTGTAACAAAGTTATATTAAATAATATAGCGGTACTTACTGTATATCTGGAAACTCCTACAAAAATGGTTGGATTGAGAAGTTGGATTTCTCTCTTAGATAAATAGGAAAATCCATGGCTCAGTAGCTGAGCACACTTTTGAATGGTGTGTGCCTCAGGTTTACTCCCTAGCATCTCCAGTTAGAATTGAGAGAGATTATGTAAAATGTTTTTTTTTTGCCAAAGAATATGCTTAACATTTGGGGGGGGGGCTGAAGATTATAAAATAAATTAGGTAACATATTCATGATCCTTATTGGGTCACTCCCACCGCCCTGCCCAATTTTAGAACTTACATTTCTGTTGTTTGTTTGTTCTCAGTCTCAAAGTAGCAGAGTGCTGTCCTTTTTTAACAATCATGGCTAGATGATTTCTGAAGAATGCAAAAATAAGATTTGGCTACCCAATATGATAGTGCTAAGCTAAAAGACTTATAAGAAATGTACCTACAATACAGAGAGAGATCCCTTTTGCTAATTTTGTTAATAATAGCTTATCTAACGTATCCAATACCTGTTGACATTTGCTCAATTATTGTTTGGGTGTGATTTTTATTATAGGGCTGCTGTGAAAAGTTTCTGGCAGACGAAAGTTTGGAAGAATAAGGATGATTTAGGTTCAGTGAGAACATCCATGGGGCCGGCAACCACAGTCGAAGCATCTCAGATGTCGCAAGCAGAAACCTCTGTACAGGAACAAGGTTCCTATCAGGAATGGAATGCAGCAGGTGGAGAAGCAGAAGGGGAAGGAGAGAAAGGAAATTATTAAAAGAAAGAGGAAAAAAAACTATTTTATATCAGAGAGATTATATTAAAAGATACACAAAATATTAAAGAGTACCACTTCTAAAAAGTGACTTTTGCTGCTTTGATGAACATTGCTTTGAAACAATAAAATAATGTGGTGTGAAACTGTAGGAACCAGATATAAAGGTGGATTTCTTCTGTTACGATTAATGTGATTCACCGGAGGCTTTTGCCTTTCTGGGTTCTTGAAAACCAAAAATGAAATATTTTAATAAGGAGTTACCAAACTTGCAACAAATAAATGGCACTCTGATTCTAAATATTTATTTTGTTGTATTTTTCTATGATGTATTCATGTTTTACAAAATTATGACAGTAGATTTACTGATATATGTGATATTTTAAGGAATTTATGACTTGTGTATGTGCATTTGGCTGTATGCCAGGGCAGACCTTTGTTCCTGATTGCCATTGAATTCACTGCACTATTTTGCAGTTATATTTAGCAATCTATGAAAGACTTTTTCATGATGCGACATGTTAATAATATTTTCAGAAAGATAACATGATGTAATCTCATGATAAGCTTATGTGCTGCCCACATGATATATTATAGTAAAAATGGAAGCAGGATTCACATACAGTGTTAAACACCAATAAACATTAAGCATAGGTTGTTCTTTTTCAAGAGGAAGGTGGACTTTCTTGTTTTTCTTTGAAAACGTTTCATTTCTCATCCAAGAAGCTGTTCTGAAGAAGCTTCTTGGATGAGAAGCAAAATGTCTTCAAAGAAAAACCAGAAAGTGCAGTTGACTCTTGAAAAAGCACCTTTGGGACAACCATGACCTGGATGACTGAGAATCTCTATAGATATTAAGCATAGATTGTTGAGTAAGCCATTGTGCCATGGGTCAAACACATTAAGTCAAAATGACCAGGACCATACATTATGCAACATTTTCCCAACACATGTTACAATTATATGTAATAGAGTATTGTGGTTAGCATTCAATCATGTTCAAGTCCATGGTCAATTATTACTGAATGACTTTGGATTGTTTACCATCTGTCCATTCAACCTACCTCAGAATTGCAGGGATAAAATTAGAGAAAGTGTACTGTATTTACTGTAGATATAAATATAAATAAATACATAAATTGTAGAATTCAGATAACTTATTTTCTGTAATAATAATAGCTAAATTTTCATATTTCCGATGTCAGACAAAGAGATTAGAGTATGAAGTTGAGAAGCTGAGATCTTTACAAGTATGGCTCCAGAAAAAAAATTAAAACTGTGTAAACTTAATTATGAATAAGGTAGGACATCTTAAATATGCTATAATAAGTAGCCATTGCTGAATTTAAAAAGGCCTAGAATAATTAATAATTGTGCTAAGAGTTATACTATAGTTATAGTAAAGATAGTAAAGTTATACTATGCTATATAGAATTGGTTATGATGTACATAGAGGTGGTCTTTAAACATTCAGTAAATAAAAATGATCAAAAATGTGAGAGCTCCCTGAAGGAAGTAACCCTTACTTATTTTTCTTCAATTCAGAAAGTGATGGGAGTCTTCTAAATGCATCCCCTGTAATTCTTTAAAGCACTTATCAACTGTTTCTGTACATTTATTTTTAAGAAACAAAATTAACATTATTGGATATAAAATTCTACATTCAAAAATGACATGTTGTTTCCCTAAGCAGACTTTGGCAACCAATAAAAAGACAATTGTATTCTGAAATGGGCATGGTTTTCTTGTGTCATTTAGTGAATGAATTAGAGCATCTTAAAATCTAATTGAGAGCCAGTTTGGCATAATGGTTAAAAGTGCAGGACTAGAAGTTGGATGACCTTGGGCCTGTCATTCCGTCCCATCCCTCTCAGAGAAAAGGCAATAGCAAATTTAAAAAGTTGCTAAGGAAACTGAAGGAACCCATCCAGAGTGCAGACTGATTCAAAAGTACCAAGATATATATACAATAGTCTCAGTTAAGAACCATTCTCAGCAACTATTCGAACTTGCAGCAATGCAGACAAGTGGTACTTAGAACTGGTCCTCAGAGTTGTGCTGTCACACTGTCCTTGGGATCACATGATGGTGATCTGGACACTCCTTCCACAAATGATATCCCAGCCAAGAGGGACAACAGCTCTGACTGGAAAATGTGGGAGTCCGTGTTGCTAGGTGGCTCAGTGGCTAAGACGCTGAGCTTGTCAATCAGAAAGGTTGGCAGTTCAGCGGTTCGAATCCCTAGTATAGGTCTCCTGTGTGAGCAGGGGATTGGACTAGATGACCTCCAAGGTCCCTTCCAACTCTGTTACTGTTATGTATTTACTAGCATTCCATCTGGAGATCTGTGGGTTACAAAAACCCACAGGCAAGTGTGCATATTGCATGCACTCACCTACACAAAGGGAGTTTTCACCTAGACTTGATTTCTTTTCGGTCCATTCCTATTTTGTCTGAGAGGGTAATACAAATGAGGTGATGTCTCCTTTCTGTTTTACTTTTTTGCTTGGGAAAACTTTTAGTAAAGATCTTGCATTCCATCTGAGGGGGAGATGCCTGAGTGATTAAAAACGCTGACCTTGTCAGCTGGAAAGCTGATAGTCCAGGTTCGAGACCCAAGTGCTACACAATAGGGTGAGCTCCCATTCCTGCCCCAGCTCCTGTCCGCCTAACAGTTCAAAAGCATGCAAATGCAAGTACATTAAGAGGTACCACTTCGGTGGGAAGGTAGCAGCAATCTCTGCACCTTTGACGTGTAGCCATGCTGGCCACATGACCACGGAAAATGTCTTTGGATTACGTTAGCCATGAAGAAATAGAGATGAGCACCGTGCCATAAAGTTGGACATGATTGGATGGGGAAATCCTTACTTTTAGTTCATCTAGAAGAGCCAGTTTGGTGTAATGCTTAATGCACCAGTCTAGAACAGAAGACTTTGAGTTCTAGTTCTGCCTTAAGCACAAAACCAGCTGGCTGACCTTGGGCTAGTCCCACTCTTTCAGCCCTAGGAAGGAGGCAGTGGCACACCATTTCTGAAAAAAACCTGCCAAAAAAGCTACAAAGATTTGTGAAGGCAGTCTTCGAAAATTGGACACAATTAAAGAAAATTGGACACAATTAAAGAAAATAAAATTACATCTGTGTATGTATATCTACTGTGTATTTCTCAAAAAATTGAAGGTGTATTAATTTTTAAAAGATCATAATATATGAACTAGTTTCAGTTGATGTGGGATCTAATCATGTTTAATGGATATGCTCTTCTTTACAGTTTTATGAATGCCTAACTCAACATGAAGGTAATAATCCGAAAGATTTTCATTATATTTTATTACTTAATTTAGTCACAGGCATTTAATAAAAAACAGGAAAACAACAGGGATTTTTTTTTCCTCCCATGGTACTTCGTAACACTGATATTTTACCAATGTTTTAAAATTTTCATGCTTCATAAAACAAATAAAAAATAATCATGGAAAGAAATTATTTAGTACTTGTATGATCAGTGAAGATACTGTATTTTCTCCAGGGTGCTTAAGATTCAGGAAACTATCATTTGAATTGTGTATCAAACACTAGTTTCAACTCATCAGTAACATTTCTAAAAGTTTACATTACCAATAGTCCTTGACTTACAACCATTTGTTTAGTGACTGTTTGAAGTTACAATGGCACTGAAAAAAGTGACTGATCATTTTTCACACTTGCGACCATTGCACCATCCCCAACGCCACTTGATCAAAATGTAGATACTTGGCAATTGACATGTATTTATGAGGGCTGCAATGTCCTGAGGTCATTTGATCTGCTTTTGCAACCTTCTGAGAAGCAAAGTCAATGGGGAAGCCAGATTCACTTAATCATGTTACTAGTTTAACAACACAGTGATTCACTTAACAACTGAGGCAAGAAAGGTCATAAAAGGGGGCAAAACTCAATTGTCTTGCTTAGCAATGGAAATTTTGGCTTCAAGTGCGGTCATAAGATGAGCACTACCTGTAATTACGGTTGTGAATAATATAAATTCAGAGTGGAATTCCATTTCTTTACCTCACACATCAGTCTAGTATTTCCAGACAATAAAAAAGCACCTGGAAGATTTCAGACCGTATGATTTTATCCATGTTTATTTAGAAGCAAGTATCATGAAATTCAGTGGGTCTGTCTCCAGAATAAATACATGTATTTAGTTTTTAAGTTTACAGTCTGGTGCCTGTACAAAATCCCAAATGATCACAATGTTGCTTCTGGATTGACTGATACAGGATTATGCTACATATATAAACCAATATGTTTTCTTAATATATATATCTAAACAATATGACATTTGTATTTGTATCTGTATTTGAATCCACCAATTCATATAGAAAATGACATGTTTCCTTTTCCTTTTAATAGTTAGTAGATCAAAAAGCTGTCAGAAATATTATGTAAGACAAAAGCAAATATTTTGATATACGTGGTCTAGCACAGTACTTCTCAACAGGTGTTGTGTATACCACAGACCTCACAAGTAGTTTAGGTGGGAAACACGGTATGCAATTTAAACTTTAAATCTGAAAGCTTACCGTAAACTATATTAAAATGGAATATCTATCAATTTATAACATCTTTCTTGAGGAAGAAGTGGACAAATCAGGGATTTTGTTGACTATAGCAGAGACAGAACACCTTAGAATCACTGTGGCCAAAGTGGAGGAACAGCAGTAGTGGGTTTCAAATCCCGTTGCTACTGGTTCACTTGTGGGAACGCGCATGTGACGTTTCTGCACATGTGCAGAGACATCCGGGCGGGTGGGCGGAGCCTCCCGCCACTACCGGTGAGGAAGAGCCTGAAACCCAGAAAGCCATCTTTTAAAAAACTGGCTTCTTTTCCAGCCATTTTATGTACAGGAGACATTGCAGATCAAGGCCATAGTGTGGAAAAGCACATTGTCTGTTTTTGTGATCTTAGTCCAGTAATATCTTAAGGAAGCATAAAGTGAACTTAATTATTCAACTCTATTTCCTTAATCCCTTTATATCTCTAATCTTAATGAAGACAGGAAACCTGAAACTTGTTAATTAAGTAATTTATTTCCTCTGCTTTATATCACAAAAACACCATCTAATTATTCCTGAGTTGTTGGGTGTTTCCGCCCTCTCCCCTTGCTTTCTTTTTTTCTTGTTTCTACACTACCATTCATCCTTCTGTTGACAGCAGTTAGCTTTTGCAGATATTCATGCTTGCAGAATCTCATCCATTTATGCTATATATTAAGTGTCTTCAACATGGCAAGAGGGAGAATGTTCATTTTCAAAC